GGTCTTCCTTGCGAGTCAAGCTGCTGCTCGGCCCTTGCAAGGGCATCCTCATTTGCTCGGTGCTGCGCACGGTTGACATTTCGGTCTTCGCGAGCGGCGCGTTCCTCCTCGGTTTCGCCGTTCTAAGGGGGGCTGTCGACGCTAACATTGAAGATTGCGCCACCATAGAAAGGAGGGAGAAATAGTTCGGTGGTGGTTTCGGCGACGGTCTCCATAGATCCCTAGGACTCAGAGTCCAGATTCTCCTCTAGGATGGTCTAGAGGGATGCTCCGGGGCGTCGGCCAACGTGCAGCATGTTGACGGCCGATGGAGGTTGGTCGGTGATCTGGTCGGCGAGAGGATGGACATCTCCAACCTAGTCGGTGAATTTGCCCCTTAGGGCATCTTGGTAAGCAGTGGCGGCATTGGTGAACCCAAAGGGTAGGGCCGTAACCCCTGGAGTTTCCTGAGTAGCCTCTGATAGAACTAGATCGGAGGGTGGTCGGTGCTGAACCAGAGTGTCTAGAGATGATTCGGCGATGGAGAGGCAATTGGCGAGCTTCAGACCAACCTGATCGATAGACGTGATTAGATCATCATTGTTGATCTGCCTCCTCTAGTAGCGAGGAAGCAGGCGGCGAGTTGTCGATGAAGGCGACCTTGAAAGCGATTCCGAGATCGGATCTGCAGTCGCAGGTATTGGGGTGATCGGCGCAGAATCGATCTGCACCGGCTCGATGAGCTCTCTGACTCCATCAGCGTTGATGATCCATGAGATCGATCTGGCCGTGAAGATCTGGTCGGGCTACGGGAGGGACGAAGAGCCTGCGGAAAAAGCCATATTGTTCGACAAGGAAACAGCACGCACACCCCTACCTGGCGCGCCAACTGTCGACGGAATATTGTCGGCAGTCCTCCGAGGGGTATCCCATGAAGGTAGATTGATCGGCAGAGAGGCATGTAATCAAGAACAAGAAGGCAACAGAGACACACAAGTTAGACAGGTTCAGGTCGTCAGTATGACGTAATACCCTACTCCTGTGGTTTGTTGGTTTGTATTGGCTATCGTATGATATTGCGTGAGTTTAGAGGGGGTCCCTACCTGCCTTATATAGTCCGAGGGGTAGGATTACAGATCGGTTAGATCTGAGAGATAACAGGAAAGTAATAACAGATTACAGGAATCTTGGGATCACACGTATCCTAACAGATCTCGTAGTATCCTAACAGATCTCGTAGTGTCTTGTGGGAGGCGCCGAGCAGAGTCGTGCCCCGCAAGGCTTCGTCTGGTGGGCTGGGCCACCCCTGGGGGCGCAGGCCATGTGGTCTGCCATGAGTATCCGGGGTCTTACCCCCCACATCTACGCTACGTGGCGGGCACCCTCGACTACGGTCTTCACTATTGAAGGGCCCAGACACGGCGCGGTTCATCGGCTACTACGACAGCGACCTCGCCGGCGATGTGGATACCAGCAAGAGCACAACCGAGATGATGTTCTTCCCCAGTAATTGCTTGGTCAGCTGGCAGTCCCTCAAGCAGAAGGTGGTGGCCCTCTCAAGCTGTGAAGCGGAGTACATCGCCACCACCACTGCTGCAACACATGTGCTGTGGCTGTCAAGGATCCTGGCAGAGCTCCTTGGTAGGAAGGTGGATGTGGTTGAGCTGAAGGTGGACGGCAAGTCTGCTCTAGCTTTGGCCAAGAACCCTGTCTTCCATGAAAGAAGCAAGCACATCCGCATCAAGTACCACTTCGTCATTGATTGCTTGGAGGACGGAAGCATCAAGGCTACCCACATTGCCACTACTGATCAGCTGGCTGACATTCTCACCAAGTTGCTGGGGAAGTCCAAGTTCCAGGAGATGAGGGAGAGGATTGAGCTACAGCAGATCACCTCCCGTGCTCGGCACAAGGCTTAGGTGGAGATTGATAGATAAGCCTAGTGCTAAAGCACTTATATCTTACTTTTCCTACACTTTTTACTTTCCTTGGCTTCCAAGCATAATGTTAGGAATATGCTCAGTATCCACTCTAGTGGTTGGAATATGCTGTAGCAAGTGAGAGTCCCCTTTACCTATAAAGGGCAAGAGAGTATCATTGTATAAATAGGCTATTGTATTTTTCATTCAATCCAAGTGGTCAAGGGTCAAGCTGTCCTCTGGTAGTTCCAGATCTAAATCTGATATCCAATCGGGGCAACAAGATGATCTATTGGATGATGTGGCTATCAGAGTTCTGGAGCAAGAAGTACATAGAGGTTTAGGTACTCGATTTCAACATCTACTGGTTTTTTCCTTCAAACTAAGTCACAGGATAAAAAAAAGTTTGTGAAAATCTCAATGAGATAGCAGCCAACAAATCACGGTTTGGATTAACTGAAAAGCCAATTGATATCCCGGCAACCAGAAGTAGTAGTAGGGAAACACTCTTTCATCAATGAACCAAATATTATTGGGAGAGATGGAGCTAAAAATGAGATAGTTGGAATGATTCTAGCCGCCGCAGACTCCACGAGTCCTTTGTCTGTACTTCCCATTGTTGGTTTAGGGGGCATTGGGAAGACTACCTTGGCCAAACTAATTTACAATAATGTGCAGATTACCAACAAGTTTGACATGAAGTTATGGGCATGCGTCTCTGATGTATATGATCTTAAGAAGATCTTGGATGACATAATACAGTCATCTACTGGTGCAAGCCACAAACAACTAAACCTAGAGGCAATGCAGAGTAGGTTGCGTGGGCTTTTACATGAAAGGAGATACTTTCTTGTGCTAGATGATATGTGGAATGAAGGAGCCAGTGAATGGGAAGATTTGAGAAGCCTTCTATGTAGTGGTGGTAATGGAAGTGTAATTATAGTAACCACACGTGGTTCAAATGTTGCATCAGTGGTGAAGACCTTGGAGCCATACGAAGTAGGAAAACTACCACATGAAGAGTGCATGGAAGTATTTTTTTCGTCATGCATTCAAAAGTGAGGAAAAAAGGGATGCTGAATTGTTACTGGGCTACTGGGCTATTGGAATGTTTGGGCTACTGGGCTTCCTTAATCTTGGTACAAATGGGCTAGCCTCCAAGCAAATGCAGGTGGACCTACGATGGGCTGGTCCAGGCAGCCACACGACGATGACTTGACAGTTGACACGACCAGTAATTCATTGCTTTTGCAAAAAAAAAAGTAATTCATTGCTGTCTCTGTTCCTTCCTCCTCCTACTCTCTCGGTCGTTCTCTTGATTTTTGACCGAGCGGTCGTGTGGTGTGGGCAGGCAGAGGCAAGAGGCCAGAGCCGCAGCGCAGAGAGGTAGGCAGGCAGCAGCACGCACGCTGCACGCAGCAGCTAGCGGCTCTATTCAGTGTAGCAAGCGTGGAGCACAGGTGCATATTCGTGAGTTGATGGGGAGATTTACTATGTGTTTATTTATAGGTAGTTAAGATACAAAATTGTTGGAGGACTATGTTTACCTTTTTTTTCCCCCAAAAGAACGAATTGAGGAGTTGTTTTAAGAAGCTGTCGAAGATGCTCTAAGGTAAGAGCATAATTTTTTTATGCATGGATCAATACAATTTCACAAGAGACCAAATTAAAGTATACCTTGGAATATCATATAAAATTTTGAAAATCGTGACACACAATACATAACAAAAGGAAAGTATATAACATAGAAAAATAAAAAAAAACCCAGCTAAGCTTTTATTGGATCTGCTTAATTGTTAGCTGACTAATAACTAGAGCTAATTGCTAACTGAGAATCACTCAAGCAGTTTAAGCCTAGTTAGGGTGGGCTAGGCTGAAGACAGGTCGTCAGCCCAGGGTAGCAAAGTACTCAACAGAATTTGAAGCCCTTATTATTAACTTTTTGTTTTTTCGTTTTTGAGTATCAATAACTGGCAATGGCTAGCACCGCTTAGGCAGACCTCTCGAATTGGGCGAAGAAGCCCTCGGGGTGGCTATATGCGTGCACGAAATCACTTTGATCCATCTTAAACGAAATAACACATGCAATTTTTTTTCTATAATAACGAGTTAAACGCGGTGTGGTATGATTAACTGAACTTTTGCTAGCTAGTTAGATAGTCTATACTATACTCTCCAATGCCAATGCTGTATTCTCAATTGACAGGCTCCCTCAAGCTGTAGGCATCAATAACTCCATAATACAAGTTGCTTGCCCGGCGATATCGTCTATACGCTCCTCTGGCGTCTTGAGTTCGGAATCCTCATTGGAGCCTCGTATATTTTCCCAGCGGTGTTGCCAAGGAAAGGCTCAGCGCTGTACGTAGTATATTCGGCCGGCAGAAATCGATCTTCACCCTCCCAAAATTAACAAAGGTCACCCAGTAGCCAAGTCGTTGCTTGCCCGCCATTCCAATCCTCATTTAGTTCCGGCTGGGAGGAGAAGCAAGAATTACACTTCCTCTTCCTCTGACCGCTCAGGAGAGTACTACTACTGCTGCGCTCTCAGTCGCCAAGTTCAGGTATGTGTGTTCAGTTTAATCTTGATTAAAACGTTGCATGAGCATATATACGAATACCATTAAAACGTCGTATATTCGCCGCTTGCCTGTCTGGCTTTCTGCAGTCAATTCAGTTTCCTTCTATGTCCGGCACGTGGCACAAAAACAAGGAGCGTATATACATGAATATGATGCGGACTCATGATCTCCAGCTGCAAAGTTATATATATACTTGAGCCTTGAACTCTGCAAGCTGTTCTCCTAACTGAAAGGAGACCAAACACAATTAATTGTTTCATGCTCCTGTCTGACAGTCTGCCGCGTATAGGCCCTGTATTCTTCTTCAGTAAATCAAGGTACTAGCATTTTATAATCTTCCATACGTACTCTGTAGTCTATTCTACAGGCTTTCAGTAACTATCCAAACATGAAACCTTGTTTCACATTTATGATTCCCCAACAATGATTAGAGAATACAAACCAAAATACAAATTTCTGTAAGGGTAACAACCTCATGGATGTTTTTTTGGCTTTGCAGTTCCTATATCGCTAGACAGTCACTATGGCTGAGATAATTTTATCACACTTCGCAGCCTCAGTTCTCCGGAAGGTAGCATCCTTTGGCACCGAATGGGCTGTTAATGAGGTCAAGTCAGCATGGAATGTCAAGAAAGAAATAGAGAAGTTGGAAAGGTCATTGAGATCAATTTGTGCTGTTCTTCAAGATGCCGAGAGTAAGCAGTCTAGTTCGCCTGCCCTCCAAGAGTGGCTGGATAACTTGAAAGACGCAGTATACAACACAGATGATGTATTGGATGATGTGGCTACAAGAGTTCTAGAGCAAGAAGTACATTAAGGTTTCCGTGCTCGATTTCGACATTTACTAGTTTCTCCCTTCGAACTGAGTCACAGAATAAAAGAAGCCTGTGATAATCTTGATGAGATAGCAGCCAACAAATCACAGTTTGGATTAACTAAAAACCTAATTGATATTCCGGCAACCAGAAGTAGTAGTAGGGAAACACACTCCTTCATCAATGAACCAAACATTATTGGAAGAGATGGAGCTAAAAATGAGATAGTTGCAAGGATTCTAGCCGCTGCAGACTCCACGAGTCCTTTGTCTGTACTTCCCATTATTGGTATAGGGGGCATTGGGAAGACTACCTTGGCCAAACTAATTTACAATGACGTGCAGATTTCCAACAAGTTTGACATGAAGTTATGGGCATGTATCTCTAATGTATATGATCTTAAGATCTTGGATGACATAATACAATCATCTACTGGTGAAAGCCACAAACAACTAAACCTGGAGGCGCTACAGAGCAAGTTACGTGGACTTTTACATGAAAAGAGATATTTTCTTGTGCTAGATGATATGTGGAATGAAGAAGCTAGTGATTGGGATGATTTGATAAGCCTTTTATGTAGCGGTGGTAATGGAAGTGTAGCTATAGTAACTACACGTGGTTCAAATGTTGCATCATACGAAGTAAAAAAGTGTAGCACCCGATTTTAAGAATAAAACCAGAATCACACCATATGTGAGCCTAGAAAGTTAAATCTCTCGTATAACTACAAATAAGAGTAATATCGAAAAACAATGCTCAAAATACAACGTACTTAATATAAAGGATATAACCTTTGACAACAAACAGCGGAAAAGACAACTCCAATCTTCGGGTGAAGACTCTAAATCCACAGGGACAACTGACTGGTTGATCACAAGCCTAATTCCTCTAAACTCTAGCAATCTGGTATCTATCCAGGATTTTTTCCAAATATGTGAAAAATAAAGCAAGCGTAAGTACATGTCGTACTCAACAAATATAACATGGGTTTCATGAGGCTCAAAAGGCTGACACTGGTTTAACTGCGATTAGCTTTTAATAAGTCATCTTTTAGCAATTGGGTGGTAACAAGTTTATCATAAGCCCATATATACACATGATTAGGTAAACATGAATAATGAATAACATAAACAGTAATCATTAGTGAGCATCTTTATCATTAGTAAGATCAGTGTTCATCAACTATTCTGTAAGGGTCCAAGGCCGCTCGTGACCGTGAGCACGGCTGATATACCAGTTTTACAATTTGCAGAGATTGTACACTTTCACTGTGAGTCATGATTTATCCTTTCGCCTGAGGTGATCAGCCTCTTGACCCACTATCAAGGAAGGTCGGCAGGGTTCACTATAAAGTCTTTCAAAGATTCGTCTAACAAGTTAGGGCCATTAGATTCACTCAGCAAATAGATGTAGAGCCCTCCTTCCCGATGGCATAATGACGCGTAGCCTATACACAAGGGGACAGAGGCCGCACTATACCCGATTTGTCAATCCATTCTTACGCCAATAAAGGTAACCACCAATAAGATAGAAACGGTCATCATACTGAGCTAAAGCCAGAGCCTTGTAGCCCTCACAGCTGTATTGTAAGTTCCGGATGTTCGTTTACAGATAAATCCTTAGGGAGAGAAATCTAGAGCACCATGAAAACAACCCAATACTCTAGCCCCCTTATTACATGTTTCTAAAAAAAGCATCTTTTACTGTTTATTGCATATTCCATTAGTCAAGTTACAAAATCATGGTTGTAGTTGAGCACTAGCATCATACTACCCAATGCAATAACCCATAAGAATCAACGTACGAGGTAACAAAGTACTAGGAAATCCTTAGTGGTGGTCAAGGTAGACACATGCAGTATGAATTAAATGATATTAAGGTGAATAGGACAACAAGGAAGATCTCATGCTATACTTGCCTTAAAACTCAGATCATTCTTCTACTGAATTGTAACATCTAAAAGAGTTCTTCTGGATCACCAACTCCTCCTATTTCATCAATGTACTTCCCACCGACTGGACATGATCATAAAGCACCGCACAAGAATCCATGCAATCATACACGAAGCAAACAAATAGATCTAAATCAAAACAGTACACCAAACATAAAATTGAGATGAAAAGTTTGTAAAATGAATCTACGTCTCGCTACGATCACACAGACACGAAAACCACGCTAATCTAAGCTACGATGCAAAAAATACATCTACTGATAGATGTGGAAAAGAAAACTATATGCTTTATTTATTTTAACTATATAAAATCATACATATGATATTTTATAAATAATATAAATTGAATTAAGTCAAATTTAGATTTGAATTATAAAACTAAAGTAAAACAAATCATATTTTATTTATAAAATTTAGTGGCATAATTATTATTCAAGTTAGGAGTTAAACCATAAAATCTTAGAAATAGTGACAAGATAAACATTGTTGATAACATGTAGCTCTCGTTGTAATGAATCTGCCACAACTTGAACGGGTCAATTTGGAGCTAAAACGTAGAAGATATAATTTACAAGATTTTCTTTAATAAAATAATAGATTAAATCTAACCTCGAATTTTAAAAGTTGGAAATATATTTAACAGTAGGATGAACATGTAGATTATGAAATTACGAACCTAACACAAGTTGAACGGGTCAAATCGAAGTTAGAATGGAGATTTTATGACTAAAACAAGGTCAGTGGCAGATGTGTAAATATCCAGAATAAATCAAAATCAGATTTAAATCAAACCAGGGACGGTGGGTTGGATATCTAGAAAAGTGAGGGGTTCTCTGCAAAACAGTGGAGCTGACCGGGTTGACCGGTATTTGACTTCGGTCAAAACAGATCTGGGCCGTAGATTCAATGATGGATGGCTAAGGACGATTAGATGTGTGTGTATTTCCATTGTATTTCTGAATTTGTTTTTGTAAAGGAAAACGGCCACAAAATGTATACATGATGTCATGTGATGTCATCAAGCTGGAATCGGAATTAGAGCAAGGCAGCACGCACGGTGCATGGCCGGTGCTTCGACGCAGCAGCGTTTCTAGTCTGTTGGTGCTCGGCGGTTGAGCAGAGCAGAGGCGTCACGGAGCTAGCTAGCGCGGCTCGGACTCGACGTCGATACCCCAGCGAAGCAGCACGGTCGACACAAAGCGAGAGGGATGTCCAAGACTAACCTTTGCGCGATGATCGGAGAAGCTATTACGGCGGCGGCAGAACGGCGGCGGCCATGGAGATGAAGAGCGGTGGCGGCTTTTAGGGTTTAGGCGCTCAGGTGCGGCAGCTAGGGCACGGCGGCTATGGCTTGGCTTCCAAGCTGGATGAGGAGGCGGTGGGGTGCAGGGCTCCGTATTTATGGGAGGCAGGGAACTTGGAGCACACGGCAAGATGACGCGGCGGCGGGGCAACGTGGACTCCCCGGCGTGGGGTGCACGCCAATCGTGAGTCGGCGCGGCGACGGACTCCTCGGTAGAATCCGACGCGGAGACGAGAGAAGGAACACAGGCGGAGGTAGGAGATGACACTGACATAGTGGGCCCACCTTTCAGCGACAGGGCGAGGGAGAGGGCGGCTGTTAGAGAGAGAGCGCAGGCGCGGGCAGACGTGCTGCCGAACTGGATTGCGGGAGTGGCTTCGGCCTGGGCCGTCTTGTTAAGCTGGGCCTGCGGGATAGTGAGGGAGACGACGGGGAGAAACAGGCCGGGCGGTGCGGGCCAAAGGTGGGGTGGCCTTCTGCTCGGCCTGCAGGACAGAGGAAGCGGGCCATGAAGGGAAAAGAGATGGGAGCAGGCCGGCTGGCTGGTTGGGTTGCAGCCCGAGAGAGGGAGGGAAGGTGTAAAATTCCTTTTCTTTTATTTCAAAACCTATTTCAAATATGAACTAAACCAAATTTGAATAGAGTTTCAAATACACTTTTCAACTTAATTAAAAATAAGAAATTTTGGTAAGTTCTCAAAAATAAATTTTACAACCTTTTTAAATTCTTTTATTTTCCAATCCCTTTTTCCCTCTTTTCTTTGACTTCAAAGCCATTTTCAAATTTATTTTTCAAAAGCATTTTGAATGTTTTCAATTTGAATCAAATCCACACAATTCAAAGAAACAAATGCACCAGCATGTATGCACAAATATGTTGCTACCTTATGATGAATTTTAATTTAATGAAAAATTTTATTTTCCTATATTTCATGAGCGCAAAATTAAAAAATAAATCATTTTAAACCTATTTTCAAAAGAGGCAAATTTTAGGGTGTTACAATGCTACCCCCTTAAGATGAATCTTGTCCTCGAAATTCAGACGACGGTGATCAAAGAGATATTGATTCTCCGCGTTTGGATTCTTCTTTACGTCATCGAGTAGTTTTATCTTTTTGATAAAGATCCCACTTTACTTAGCATACATGTTAACCTTACTCCAAGTAACTTGCTTGACTAATTCCAAAATTTTAACAGGTACCTTGAACAACTTTCAGGTAACTCCAATCACTAGGCCACCTTTCCTTTTTAGTCCATACTATCAATTCTGTTTTTCAAAATATTCACCTTTCATCGGAGCCTGACGAATCTCTTGGTTAGAAGGAGATTCTACTACCAATCTTCAAAATATTAAAGATTCTGGTTAAGTTGCTCGACTCTCAAACACAACTCTTAGTCCATGGTGTCGTTTGAATCTTCTTAGCATAACTTTCTCTTGCTAAAGACATTGACAACGACTTTTGCTTCTCCAAATGACTGCACTTTTCCAAGTTATAAAACCTTGATTGCTTCAATTAAACAATGATGTCGCAAGGTCATAACCAACTTCATTCCAACGAGGGTTTCACAAGCTCAAGACCATCTTAGTGAAGATGTCTTGTAGATTCTTGTGATCCTCCTAGATGTCACTCTTACTTCCAAAAAGATAGTACTTCTAGTCTTTGCAATGGATAACTCTAGATAACATGTTAGGTAGTTCAACTCACGCTTCCTGAGTTAACTTAATGAACAAGCCACTACTTTTCTTCT